ATTTAGTTGAAGATCAAAGTTTGGCTCTTTACTTAAAACAGATTTCGCTTGCATGGCTGACTCATATTTTTAAGTTTCATTTTATTTTCCGGTATTTCTTTTCTTTTTTTTTCCTTTTTTCTTTTTTTTTTTTTAGTTGTTGATTTACCCTCTTTTCTATTTACTCTTAAAAGTTATTTTACAACGTATTATTTACTCATCTCATCGCTATAATGTTATGTATACGATAGAAGGATATTTTGGTAGGTTTTTTTTTTTTTTTTATTTTGAAAATCTCGCTCTATACCTTTGAACATCTTAATTAACTAACTGACTAACTAGCTAAAAATCTATTCGATCCACGAAACGTCCGAAATGTCTTGTTATTTCTCTTTTTTCTATTACTTTTTTTTTTTTTAATTCGATATCAACTCTTTCCTTTTCGTTATATTTAATAGTCAAGAGAAAACAATTTTTTTTCGTTCATCTCTCAATATGTTTAAACACGCCAATCACGCGAATGACGATCAGATATTCTAGTTTTCATTTGATATTACGAAATCTAGAGAATCGATGTGTTTCTGAGAATTAAATTATTCTGATAGCAATAAGCGCGATGTTATACGGGAACGATATTAAGGCACGGATGATGATAAAAGTAATTCATTATATAGTCGAAGAAGATTTACGTATATGTATGTGTATATATTTATACACATATATACATATATATATATACATAGTTGAAAGTCACTCAAAGGAGTATACTGTCGAAAGCATAATTCATTTGAAATATTAAATAATCCTTTCTATAATCAACGATAATAAAAAATATCAGTATGTTTCGTCGGTAGCGCGATTGGACGTGACATTTGCAAGTTCGTCGAATATTACTTCTTCTTTTTTTTCTTTTATTTTCTTTTTAATCCTGGACGGCGCGTTTCGGGAAATGCAACGCAATGAACGTAGCTTATGATTTAATTTACTGTAGGCTCTCTATATCGGCGCGATCCTTTGGATCAAAATTTCGAATATTAAATGCAAAAAAAAGAAGAGATCGCTCGTCTCCGTGAATTCTTTTCGCCGATGCTGTGAACGAACAATCGCTGAGGTAACACGTTGCATTTTCTGCTCTTTTTTGATCTTTTTGTTTCCTTTTCTTTTTTTCTTCTTATTTCACCTCTCTCTTTCTCTCTCTCTCTCTCTCTCTCTTTTTCTTTCGTATCGCGTTATTATCATTCCCACGGAAAGAAAGAAGACAACAGATATTATCTCTCTCATCGAAAGATACGTTTAATAATTTATTACTTCGACTGATAATGGGATACGATAAAAGTGTCTTACGTTAAAGAAGTTAGTATCGAACCAGTTGTAAATTCAAGGTCGTTGAAGTCTCGCGAGATTAACGTATTTCATGATAAAGTATCATCCGATTTTTCTATGGTCGAACGATTCTAGTGAAATTATAACGTGGTTTTAGGCGTTAACGCGGTTAAATTTATTTTTATCGTTAGATTATTCATACGTATGAAGCAACTATCGTGTGTTTGTGTGTTTGTGTGTATGTCTATGTGTGTGCTCCTGACCTATATGTATATTGTCCAACGCGAGAGATTTTCTCGTTCATACATTAATCTCTTTCTTCTTCTTTTCTTTTCATTTCTACAGCGTTTGATCATATAGCAATCGAACGATGAGAAATCGGAAACCATCGAGATCTCGTTTACGGTTTATCACTTTAGTGCTTTGCTATTGAGCATATCTTCATATATGTTCCTCTAATACATGTAATAATATTAAAACTCTCGAATCTCTTTGCTTTTTATTAAAATATCTGCATCGTGTATATAACGTATATATGTATATATAGGTATATTTATATGTAATATATATATATACATATATATATATACATATATATATACATACATACATACATGTATATATTTATTTTCTTTAAATACATATATTTTCGGCTGTCGTACTACGCGACGGTGAATTTAAATAAGTACGTGAGACTTTTTCACAAAAACGCACATGTAACATATTCCCATTAATGTGCCTGACAGACGAACAAGTACGATTGAAATGTTTGCTTAACGATTTTTCTTTTTTATTTTCCCTTTCCTTTTTTTTTTGCGTTCAGTTGCTTTCTTCGTGAATCTCTCTCTCTCTCTTTTTCTCTTTCTTTCTCTTTCTCTCTCGATGACAGGACGACAAAAAACTAGAACATTTTTTACCATTTTTTGTTACTATTCGAAGCTGAGGGAACAATTTGGAGAGAATCTTCGAATATTTTTTAATAAAAAATGGAAAAGATAAATGTATCAATTATCATTTTTTATTTATTCTCTTTTTTGTTTTTCCTTTTTTTCGTAGAATTTTACTAAATCCTCTCGTGTGCTTCGGCCTTATTTTTCATTTTATTATTAGTTAATACAATTTGAATATCTTATAATTTTCAATAATTTTGATTGATTTATCATGATTAATAAAGAATGAAAGAAAGATTTCCAAAGATTGTGAAAGAATACATGCTTTTAAATAATTACATACGTCGGCTTGCAGATCGGTTTTTAGATATTTTATGTTTGTGCGTCGGTACGATCGATCGCAACCGATCGAATTGCCGAATTTATTTTTCGATCATTTTATATTGGAACGTTAGATTATCATTTGAATCGTACTTGTTTCTCGCAATCGTCTTTTTTTGTTTGTTTCTTCTTTTTTTTCATGTATTTTTTTTCTCTTTTTCGTTTTTCATGCTGCTTCACGACAGACAATATTTCGAACGGCATGAGCGTAAAACGGATTTTATAATGGATACCGAGATGAAATCTAAAAAAATTATTATTAGGTGAAAAGAAATATAACTCAAATGATGTTTCGAAAACGTTAGGACGATCGCGAGCATTCATGCAGCTATTTGGCTTCGAACCGATAACGACAAGGACGATCATTGATCGGTTGCAAGTAATCGATTACAATTTTTATTTGCGTTAATGCGCGGCCATTAATATCGATAGGACAAAAAACTACGGTTCATGTTTTATATATATATATATAATATATATATATATACATATATATAGAATATATATATAATATATGTAATATATTTTATATATATACATACATATACATGTACTATATATTCTAACAAATATATCTTTTATATAAGAAATCATTTTTTTCCCTATTCGTCTTTTTAACTGTTATTTGTTCTTAAGGAATCATCGGCATTGCGTAAGATCGTCCATTTCTATATCTCCAGAACGATATTTAGGATTAGATCAACGCGACCCTCGATCAAAGGCAGTGTGAACATTAACGAAAACTTTGACATTCGAACAAAGGCCGCCGCATTTTGTTGTCCCTCTAGGATCTCTTTCGTCTAATTATAAATTCTATCTAATTATCTTTATAACAACAACAAATATGTTTCATTTCATTATAATATATTATAAATATGTCTTATCATTAATAAAGTTTATTACGAGCTAATTCTCACACCAACTCTTAAAGAATTCCTCTCGACTTTGTACGCTGACAAAATACACTGATTTCATATTTCAAATCAAACGGATGTTTACTATTTATAACAAACAAACAAAATAAATCCCTGTAGTTCTATTGATTTTAAATTATTAATCACATTAAAGTGTAATCGGTCGTTAAGATTTTTTGTTGTTGTTATTGCTGTTACCGTTTATCTCGAAAAGTAAATAAAGAAAAAGGTATATATTTTTTCTAGCGTTTACGTCGAAGTTATCATAATTCTTGAAATAACCGTTAAATAATTCATAACTTCCTCCTAACTTATTCGAAGATAAGATCGTGTTTTTGTATTGTGTAACGTGGTGTTACGCAGTTTAACGCTTATTTTTCTTTCGTTCATCGCGAGGAGCGATGTATATGTATATAGAGGCAGGGAATCAAACGAAATCATCTTTCGAAATCGCCGAGAAAAACGTTATACGAGGAAATTGAAATGGATCAACGTGTTATTTTATATTGCGAAACGTTGATAGATTTGTTTAAAATAGAACGGAGGAAAAAAAAACAAGTTGAAAACAAAGAAGGATAGAAAAGGAGAAGTCAATTGAAAAAAAGTTTTTGTAAAACCTTTCGTCGACCATCTACCATTGCTTTTTTCTTTTTTGCTTTTTTTTTTCTTTCTTTGATTTTAATCGAACTTGGATGCAAACTAAATAATGTTCAAAATCGATCCGATAAAAAATGTTTCCTTTTTTTTCTTTTTCTTTTTCTTTTTTTTCTTGTTAAATCGCTGCGAAACGTGACATTGTCATCGTCGAACGTCGATGAATGAATTCGATTGTTTATGTCAATTGTGACGTATCAATAATGTACGCGTTATATAAAATTAGCGATTATCGTTTCTCTAGCAACAAAAAATGTCAATATACGATCATCTACTAAAATATTCTAGAAACTTGTATCTTTTTCAAAGAATGAAATAAGTACGCTATGTACCTATATATATATATGTATATATTTATATTTATCTTCTTATTTTATTCTTTTTGCTTCTTCTTCGTCCTCCTTCTCCTCTTCCTCTTATTATTCTTATATTTTTTTCCCCTTATAACTTCGATACACATAAATTCGTCCAACCATTCCGATAAAGGATAAAGGTCGAACCTTGACTAGAATTACGTCATTTAATCTTTCATTCCTTTTAATTTTTAATTTAAGGCAAACTCGCTTTGATACTCACACAGACATACACTTTTTTGTTTCCTCTAATATTTTCTTACATGCCACTACTCTTGCACGATTATCCCTTATCTTCTTCTTCTTCTTTCATATTTCCTCTTCTTCTTCTTTCTTCTATCCTTCTATTTTTTCTTTCTTTCTTTCTTTTTTTTCGTCTTTCTTTCTTCTTTATTATCCTTCTTTTGTCTATTTGCAACAATCATATATACTCACGCTCTCTCACGTATCCTAAGCACACGTACGCACACGTATGCACGCATTTATACTTCACGCAATCACGTTCGTTGTTCATTTTATTCCAGGGATCAAGAGGGGGTGAACATCCTTCCTTTTCGACGCACTCTCGCCAGGAGTGTTTCGTTCTTTCTTTCTTTCTTTCTTTCGTCCGTCCGTCCATTCGTTCGTTCGTTCGTTCGTTCGTTTGATTTCACTTCCTCCTGTCCTGGAAAATAAAATAACGACGAGTTATTCTATTGTTTTATTTATTTCTTTTTTTATTTTATCTTTCTATTTTTTTTTATGTTTTTAATCAACGAAACAATTATGAATTGTTTCGTAAATTTAACGCGTTGAGAGAGAAGAGCTATATTGTAAACGTTCAATTTTACAGACTTTATTTCAAAAATGTTTTTAAGATTATCTTTTTTGGTGATACTTAGAATATTAACAATAGAATATTAAAATACACTTTCTAATAAAAGTTAAGTCTAATTTTTAAAATATACGATATTTAATTATCCGTGTATATTTTATTTTACTTATATAAAGTATAGGTGAATTTATTAATTTATGTAAAGTCAACGTGTTAAACGTGTTAATCCTTTGATGCATAATTTTCGTAGAAATATTTAAATGTAGAAAATTTAAAAATTAAGATGAAAAAAATGACATTTCGAAATTGAATGAAACGTTAAATTGAACGCAATGTATATAAATATATTTTATCTTCGCAAATACATAACAGCGTTAATTCTGTAATGCATGCTTTTGATAGAAATCTTTAAATAACTATTAAGACGGAAAAATTATATTATGAGATTTACTAAAAAATTTTAATTTAAAATAATACTACGATAAACATTAATATGTATTCCTAAGAACGTACAGTGTTAATCTTGCGTGATTTTTTACAAAAAATATTCGATAACTAACGAAATAATTTTAATGAACAATGTTAATACAATAAACACGAGAATATTATAAATTGTGCAAGCACATGCATTTGAATCACGATTAAAAATAAATATTCTCTTACACACACACATATATATATATATATATATATATATATATATATATATAAATCTGATCCTGTATCCTATACTTACCAATAGAATGTTTTCTTGAGCGCACGTCTTGGCGGACGAATGCAAGAATCGAATATAAACGTAGCTTCGGTAGGCCAACGTTTGGCATCGCACATAGCGATGGCGATTTAGAAGCCTTGGATTATGCCATAGGCCTCGAGGGTGGACATGATGAGGTAGAAGAGCCATAGGGAAAAGAGAAAGGCGGACGTTAAGAGTTTCGGTACAAAAGGCCCACCGAGCTCGCCGCCAATGCTCTTCGTCCGTCTTAACAGCAACACCAGGATCACCAAGCAGGCTTCCGTACAGAACAACGTTACGGAGAAGGCCAAGCTAACGCCAAGAAAAAGATTTTTTCCACATTTTTTCTTTCGCTCCTTCTTTTCTTTCTTTATCATTTTATTTTTTGTCTTCATTTGTATATAAATTTATTTATTTATTTGTTTTTGTGTTTGTTCGTTCATTCGTTCGTTCATGTTTCGATTTTAAAAAGAAATTTTACTATAATTAATTAAATTTTTATTACGTTTTATATACGAACCATTTAAATGAACGACAGAAAAAAGAGATATTTGTCGATTATTAGATCATTAAGATAAACGAATGATTTCTATTGAACGTCATCTTTTAAGATACCCAAATTTAATATCGCTGATAATATCACTGTTAGTAACACTGTTTTATCGTTTTTCCGACGATATGACTTTAAATATAAAATAATGTATTTATTAAATCGCCTATTTTCTTGCATGTGTTCATTTGACCGTATATATATATATATATATATAAATAAATAAATAAATAAAAATATATATATATATACATATATACATTATCAGTAATACATATATATATATATATATATATATATATGTATATATGTATATGTATTACTGATAATTAATCAAAATGAATTCGTTATTGTTATTTGTTTTCGTATTAGCTTTCATTTACTTAAATGCAAACTATCGTCGATATATACACTCGTGAAAATGATTTCAGTCATTATGGTGCCATCTGTGTTTACATTCTAGCATAGGACTATCAGTACGGTTTGTTTCGATGCAGCTTCTATGAGCATAATTCAAATTATGTATAATGTATATAGGATAGGCTAATAACCATAAACATATCCTTCTGGCGTTCCTCTTTGTCACGAAATTTGCATAAATATTATGTATGCGCGGTATATTCCTTTCGTAATATATAGATATATATATATATATATATATATGTATATATACATATATATATATATATGTATATATACATATATATATATATATTTATTTATATGTTTATTAAATCTTTTATATATCAACGAAAGTTTTTTAAACTTATCAAAAAGAATTTATCAACATGATGAGGATAATTAGAGGGGGAAATGATTTTATTTTTTTTTCGCAAGAAATAAAATGTTTCTCATCTTATCGAGCAATAAGAAAGATAGAATGTAATAAAGAAAAAATGTTTAAGTTTGATATCAAAGAGTACAATCTTTGATTTAAAAAAGGAAATACCGTTGGGTCTCGATCTTCATCTATTACCATCTTTTATGATATCTCTATCTTATTTTCGTGTATCCTGAAATTTCATCCCATCAGTGGGAGGAAAAAGATGTTTGCTTTAAGAAAGGAGGGAGTCATGTTTATAGATCGAACGGAATGGCGTAATCGAGGGAGATGAGAAGGATGTTTGGGGTTTCGATTATCGCAATCTAAAATTTCGTTTCTAACTGTTTTTTTTCTCTTATTCGAACAATAACTGTATCTGTTGTGATCAAGAAAATGTTTTTATATTTTCTTTACATATATATTTTTTCACTTTCTTGTTTTTTTTTGTTCTTTTTTCTTCTTTTAGGAGAAACGCGTGTTGTCGGTAAATGTCGTGAAGGTTAAATTGGGTTTTGATAAAGGTTAAATAGAAAGGTCTCCTTTTAACATCGATGTTTCCTTTTTGATCCTTCGTATATTGTGTGCAAAATGTTGGCTCAATTTTTGCTATAAATTTTCGTTTAACACATATAAGCAAGGTAAAAGAAAATATTGCAAATAGAAAATGATATAGAAGATATAATCATCGAGGCTATACTCGGTACTATTTAAGTTCGTTTAACGTTATACTTTTTTATCTACTTCTTTTACTCCTTATCCGATTTTCTTATTACGACTCGCACTTGATTATTAGATGCACGCAGTCACGCATGCAATCACGCATGATAGGAAGGGGTGGATTGCGGGTGGTGATAATGATATTAGTACTTAGATGCGTTCGATGAATTGGTTAAAGTAATGGATAACGAAATTAACTCCCATATTGGAAATAATACTTATTTTACCATTATTATTTTGAGATCAGAGACGTGCGAATTTTACATTAAAAGAGAAATAATTTTCTTGCTATTGCTGTTCGATTTGTCTACATTTAACTCGAGTATAACATACTTTTTCAACATTGTTGGGCGAATGAAACATATAACAAATTCTACATTTGTAAATGAAAAAGTAACGTCATAAGTGCGATGATATAATAAATGCGAGGAGGAATGCCAGATAGAATGCAAGTGAAAATCAGCTAAAAAAGTTTAAAGAAAAAAAAAGAAAGGATACGAATTAATTTGGTTCTATGGAACAAAATTTGCACGTCTCTATTGTGAGATTTTTTCGTTTTTTTTTTTTTTTTTAAAGGATGATAAGAACCTCGAAAGATCAAACGTTAATCGTACACTGAATATTAGTAAAATACATTTTCAATACTGACTTGCCGGGCTCCACAACGAATTGGTCACCGTGGCAGGCATGGTAAATGGCTGCGATGCTCCACGCTATACCGATTCCCAGGAAGACATTTACCGCGTTACTTCCGGTCACGTTTCCAACGCTCGCATCGGCGTACTTGTCCTGGCAGGCAGCCACCTTGCTCGCGAACGTGTCTGAAATAAATTCGTCAGAATCTCAGTCTCTCTTATTTGCCGTACGATCGAAAAATCATGTATTTTCGTTGTTCCATTTAGAAGAAATCTAACGTAAAACTAATCCACAAAAGAAATCCATGTTGCAAGAATCTAGCTCGTGTTTGGTACTCATTAAATCATATTTTATTTTAAGCTTTAATCATTTTAAAGTAGCTTCGTGTCGTTTATCGAAATATCCAATCGTAATGCTAGTATTAAGCTAACTAACTATTAAAGATAAGTCGGTATTGCGCTTGAATATAGGCAACGATCTATACAAACGATCGTTACTGTATATAGGTTTGCATACTGCCAGGCTACGATCTATAGATACGTTCGTTACTCTACGTAAAATTGCATACTGGTAAGTTACGTTCTATAGATACGGTCGTTATTGTATATATGGTTACATACTGACAGGGGTTACGGTGTTACAAATATAAAGAAGTGTGTTACGCGAAAAATCGATAAAATAATTTTCATTTTAATCATGTTTTCTTTTTCGAATCTGTTGTCACTTATTTTCTGTTGACTTTGTTCCGATATCTCAACAATTTAGTGTAGTCTAAGAATTTATCGTTCGCACCTTTGAAAATGAAATTTCACGAATGTATGTTTTGTTACAGTCAAATCGGTTAGCGTGCGATAACGTAAACATCGAGGGAAGGTATACAGAGGACAAATGTTTGTCAAATGTTTAGCGGCTAGTAGGATTAGTGAGATGACAGTTTCGCATCGTAGATGAGAGTCAACGTGCGCAAACAATGTACGTTTGATCTTACGATCGTGGACATTTGTTGATAGTACAACAAGATACATACATTAATGATGTTTCGTAGATTTTCAAATTTATTTGGGATATCCTTTCCATATATTTTCTACCATATAAAGAGGATTATTATTATATATTAACGATATTCACACATTTGTTGAAAATCATTTTATTATTAGAAATGAATAACAGATTAATTAATGCGATCACTCGACTATATCATTAAAATTGTATCGTAAATATATTTTGTAGAATCTTCCTTCTAGTCAATGTTTCATATTTCTTACAGTTAATATACTTTTTCATTGGTATAACAATACATTATATTAAGATACATATTTTTTTATTTTATTCATTAATAGTTTGTTTTACTAATAATTCTTTTTTCATTTACTAGTAATTTATTTTATTTAATGTTTATTTTATGTTCATGTAATGTTATATTTTTAATTGATATATAAAAATATACTATTGAGATTAATATATTTTTATTTTTCATTTACTATTTACTTTGTTTTACTTCACTAATTTGTTTTATTCAATATTAATATATTAGTGTAAGAGAATATATTAATTGTAATTTTGAAATGATTTCCATTATTCAGTCCAGTCGATGTATCATTATATCCACTTCAATACATCATTACTTGGTTAAGGTAGCTGTGATCTGTCAAAAGTACTAAAGGTCGATTTAAAGTCTAATGAAAAAGAAAAAGAAAGAAAAACAAAAAATGCTTCTATCACTAAAAAGATTCCTATTGCTTCTTCTTCTTTTTGGTCTTTTCTAATGAACTAACGTCACTGAATTAATAACTTGCGATCGATGTGCGTGAAATCGATAAAGAACTAAATTTTATTCTCATTTATACGTATTTTTGTTTTTCATTTTAAGAAAAAATCAATTTTCCTTTAGTTTATAACTTTATACAAAGTGTCCCATTTAAAGTCATACATCTAAATAGTTATCTTCTTTCTTTAATGATTAAAAGATATATATATATATAGTTTTTTGTTATCACAATGCGTTAGTTTATGACAAGAAATAAATTAATTATAAATCAATAATAAGAAAATTCTTATTTGTTAATTAATTTCTTCTTCCTTTTTTTCTTTCTTTTTTTCTTATCATTATTATAATTATTATGTCAGGTACTATTCTACATCATCTTATAATAGTTTTCAACTACTATTACCATTATCATTATTATTATCGTTATTATTATTATCATTATTATTATTATTGTAATGACTGTATAAATTAGTGTAAGATTGTTAAATCTTGGATATCTCCGCTACACCATAAAACAGCTTTATTCCTATGCGCTTTTTCTGTTCGGTACAGGGCTTTTCTCTCACTCTCTTCCTTTCTTCCACGGACTATAGATATCTCCTAAAAGCCGACAAAGAAGAGACATTTCGACTTCCGATCTAACTATACTAAAAAGTTTGCTCTTAACTCCTGAATATCTTCTCTTCAATGATTATCTACAGAATGCAATAAAATAAATTACACGTTTTTTTAACATATATACATACATACAATCCCTTATGTGTGAATATCGTTAGCATTTTGGTTAGTTCTGAACTCGTCACGTAATAATAATAATTATTATTATTATTTTCTTTCTTATTATTAACTAATAATAAGAAAATAAAATTAATAATCTTTACGAGCTTTAATTTCGATAGAACGAGGAAAGTAATCATTTTGAATAGAAACTTTTGTCCTATAATATTCGTTCATGTAAATCGATCGAAGGGAAAATATTTAAATGTACGAATTTAAATGGAATGTCGTATATATGTACCTTAGATGCTTAATTCAATCGCAAGGATTCACTTATATCGAAAGGTCTAAGAGTTCGTTGCCGGCCGTTATCGAAGAAATTTCCATAATTCACGATTCGAGGATTACTTGCCGGTTAGAAGCAGTTCCATGCACGAAGATGCAAGCTTTCCGGAGCTTATTTTCTTCCTTCCTTGCATCCTTCCGTAATGTTCCATTCATATTTATATCAACGAACGTAGACTTTTGTGAGAGATAGGTATAAAGAGGGAGGGAGAGAGAGAGAGAGAGAGAGAGAGAGAGAGAGAGAGAGAGAGAGAGAGAGAGAGAGAGAGGGAGAGAGAGAGAGAAGAAATATTCAATAAATGAAAACTTTTTTTTTGTAATCGTTTTAATATTGTTAATCAAAGATGTCGTTACGTTTGGAGAAAAAAAATAAGTTAAAAGATAGTCAAATCTTTGCTCATTTCTTCGTAAGTCCGGATCTAACTTCTATTGCGAATGGAGTCGACGACAATCACGACTTGAAATTATCAAAGTTTCGAAAGCGTCCTCTGTAAATATTCATTACTTTCTTCTTGCACTTTCATTTAATACAGTTTTCGATTTGCCACTGAATGAGAACTTAACAGTCTTAAGTACGTATTTTTTGGTCGAGGTAAAGATTTGACGTCAGTTATATATGATTCATGAAGAAGAATAGGCCAATATGTGATTGTTGTTATTATTATATTGGGTTAATTCATAAATAATTGTAAATAATAAAATACATATATATACATATATATATATATACATATATATATATACATATATATATATATACATATATATATATATATATAAGTATACTTTCTTCAGGTAAATTTGACGCGCTTCTCATGGCCCGCCCTTCCATTGTCTTTTGTTATCTACAAATTCTTTTGTTACCAACAAATCGAGCCGTTAAGATTTGGGAGAGAAACGAGCAGTAAGAAATACAACGTAGACGAGAGAAGTAGGACGAGAGTGTAGTATAAAATTTAACCAGTATGAATAATAAACGTAAATTGTCGTTTCTTTGTTCACAGAGAAACATATTTTCGTTTATTACCTCACATAATTAATCCGAGATATTATATATATATATATATATATATATATATATATATATATATAAATAAAAATTGATAATATATATTTTACAAAAATTCAAAAACGTATTATATATTGTAAATGTAAAATATAAGATGATTAAAAAAGGGACATTTCTTAAAGGACTTTTAGTATTTACCGAGAGAAGTAAAATATGTTTGATGAACATAAATTCTAAAAGTAATGCTTTCTGTAGAATCAACTTTTATTATCTATTAGATTTCAATATTATAAGTGAGTCTCTTCATCACATATTGAATATATATATATGTAAAGAAAGTATACTTTCTTGAGTTAGATTTGCCGCGCTTCTCATGCCCCGCCTTTTGATTGACTTTTGTTATTTACAAGTCGAGCCATTAAGATTTGGAAGAAAAACGGGCATTAGGAAGTAGGATCTATGCACGAGAAATTACAGAGAAATTTTATAAAGTTAATATATTAAATAAAATTTAAGTAGTGTGAATAATAAACGTAAAATGTCGTTTCTTTGTTCACAGGTAAGACTATAAATAGCAAATAATTGTTAATTAACAAATAAAGATTTATTCCTTTGTTCACAGAGAAACATTTTCGTTTATCACATCATTCAAAATAATAAAACATATTATAAAACGACAATTTTTTGTTTATAATGGCAAGAAAACTACAATTCGCATTTAAATGTGTGGCATCACCGAGAGACAGAAAGACAAATGTGATTGCCATAACCTCTATCACAACTGAGGACAATAAAAAATATGTTGTCAGAAAATGAAAAATTTGCAAGTAACCACAGCGGACTAACAAAAACAGAATGCTATAAGAGAATGAAAAAAAGCCTCAATCAAAGAGGGCAAGAAAGAAGAATATGGATTAAATGCACACAGGAAATGGAGAGTACGTATTTTGATGAAGATGACAATATAATGTTTAATGATCTATATTTAGAAGAAATAGTGGAAACAAACATAGTAGAACCCACACAGAAGAAAGAATACCAAATAGATTTAAAGTGTATATCAGAAAAATTCATGATTGAAAAATTTGTATGTAAACACTCAAATGCAGAACAATGGTTGGAGACATTTAAAAAAGAATATCGAAGATTCAAAATTAAAGAAGATAACACGAAAATTGAGATTTTAAGATTATTCCTTGACAGAGCATGTTTAGACTGGCACTCAGCAACACTAACAGCATTGACAATGGAGGCTGGTTGGAACGAATGGAAACAGAAATTCTTGACATCATTTGCAGACAAGGGATGAAGTATAAGTATATACGCTATATCCTACAGATATAAAGAAGGTTCACTAATGGAGTACGCTATGAGGAAAGAAAAACTATTACTGGATATGGACAATAATATCAGTACAAAGACTCTGATGATGCTTATAGCAGCAGGATTACCAGAATTCATAAGAGATAAAATAGAGAAAATTGTCAAAGCTCAACAGAATTACTACAAGAAATAAAAAAATGTGAAAATCTAGTAAGTAAGAACAGTTTTACAAAAAAGAAAGAGGAAAAACAAGATAATAAGAAGAAATTTGAAGAAAAGAAACCATGTAAGAATTGTGAAAAACTAAACAAAGGTATTAGATATCATTCAGAGGACTCCTGTTGGTTCAAAAAGGAAAATAGAAAGGAAACCAGAATAAATGGAAGCAATTCGATGATAGAAATGGACCTATGCAAGGAACAAAAAAACGAATAACCACACCATTGATCAAAGTAAGGATAGTATTAGAAAAGAAGTTAGAGGTAAACGGAACATATGACCTAGGTTCCCAGGTCCCTCTAATAAATTCGAGACTAGTCAAAATAAAAAAAAGAGAGACAGAAGATAAAAATAAAATATTATTAAAGATGGTCAATGGTGTGACACAAACAAAAATTTAGTAACCATTAAAGTAAAAATTTTCGATAAAGAGGAATACCTTGATGTATTTATTGTAGAAAGAAATAACTTTCTTCACAGAGAAACATATTTTCGTTTATCACCTCATCCAAAATAATAAAACATATTATATATATATATATGTTTATATATATATGTTTCTCTGTGAACAAAGGAATAAATCTTTATTTTTTAATTAACAATTATTTGGTATTTACAACCTTACCTGTGAACAAATAAACGACAATTTACGTTTATTATTTACACTACTTAAATTTTATTTGATATATTATTTTTATAAAATTTCTTTGTAATCTTTCGTGCATAGGTTCTATTTCCTAATGCCCGTTTTTCTTGCAAATTTTAACGGCTCGACTTGTAAATAACAAAAAAGTCAATCGAAGGGCGGGACATGAGAAGCGCGGGAAATCTAACTCAAGAAAGAATACTTTCTTTACATTTCCCCCCCCCCCCTCAGGATAAAATTCCTACAGTTTTTAGTCCTTGTCTTCATCTTCTGATATTGGAAGTAATTTTGTTATGTGGAAGAATATAGTTTCTTGTTTTCGTTTTCCTGTTTTTATTTTGTATATTGATTCTGATATTTTTTTTACTATTTGGAAAAGACCAATTCTCAATTCGTCTAATTTCTTTCTATTCAACCTATTGCCATCTTCTATATACACCAGATCTGTGTTAAATCGGTGATTCTTTCTACTCTTGTTAAATATCTTTTTGTCATATTCGTGTGATTTTTTTGTTCTTTCTAGAGCTAATTCTTTATCTCTTATCCAATTTTCTTTACTGTTTCTTCTTTTTATTTTTTCGGGTAAAATGCTGGTGTTTGTGGCATCTAACAAATACTTAGGCGTAAAGCCGATTACTGTATGTTCTGTTTCAATATATTTATCCAAACATTCTTTAACGATCGTTGTCCAAGCTCTTTTTTCTTTCTCATATATCCTGCATCTTATTTTATTTACCAGGATCTGATTCAGTATCTCGTTCAGACCGTTGGAGAAGGGCGTGTTGACAGCCGTAAAAATTAGTTTAGTGTCATTTTCTATTAGGAATTCCTTAAATTCTCTTGGGTTTATTCCCGGCTATTGATCTGCGAGTATTACTCCTATTTTGTCTGTTTCTAGCACTTTATTTATCATGTCACATCATTGACCGTCTTTAATAATATTTTATTTTTATCTTCTGTCTCTCTTTTTTTTATTTTGACTAGTCTCGAATTTATTAGAGAGACCTGGGAACCTAGGTCATATGTTCCGTTTACCTTTAACTTCTTTTCTAATACTATCCTTACTTTGATCAATGGTGTGGTTATTCGTTTTTTTGTTCCTTGCATAGGTCCATTTCTATCATCGAATTGCTTCCATTTATTCTGGTTTCCTTTCTATTTTCCTTTTTGAACCAACAGGAGTCCTCTGAATGATATCTAATACCTTTGTTTAGTTTTTCACAATTCTTACATGGTTTCTTTTCTTCAAATTTCTTCTTATTATCTTGTTTTTCCTCTTTCTTTTTTGTAAAACTGTTCTTACTTACTAGATTTTCACATTTTTTTATTTCTTGTAGTAATTCTGTTGAGCTTTGACAATTTTCTCTATTTTATCTCTTATGAATTCTGGTAATCCTGCTGCTATAAGCATCATCAGAGTCTTTGTACTGATATTATTGTCCATATCCAGTAATAGTTTTTCTTTCCTCATAGCGTACTCCATTAGTGAACCTTCTTTATATCTGTAGGATATAGCGTATATACTTATACTTCATCCCTTGTCTGCAAATGATGTCAAGAATTTCTGTTTCCATTCGTTCCAACCAGCCTCCATTGTCAATGCTGTTAGTGTTGCTGAGTGCCAGTCTAAACATGCCCTGTCAAGGAATAATCTTAAAATCTCAATTTTCGTGTTATCTTCTTTAATTTTGAATCTTCGATATTCTTTTTTAAATGTCTCCAACCATTGTTCTGCATTTGAGTGTTTACATACAAATTTTTCAATCATGAATTTTTCTGATATACACTTTAAATCTATTTGGTATTCTTTCTTCTGTGTGGGTTCTACTATGTTTGTTTCCACTATTTCTTCTAAATATAGATCATTAAACATTATATTGTCATCTTCATTAAAATACGTACTCTCCATTTCCTGTGTGCATTTAATCCATATTCTTCTTTCTTGCCCTCTTTGATTGAGGCTTTTTTTCATTCTCTTATAGCATTCTGTTTTTGTTAGTCCGCTGTGGTTACTTGCAAATTTTTCATTTTCTGACAACATATTTTTTATTGTCCTCAGTTGTGATAGAGGTTATGGCAATCACATTTGTCTTTCTGTCTCTCGGTGATGCCACACATTTAAATGTGAATTATAGTATATTGTATATATTGTATTATATACAATATATACAATATTTTTATTATTTTTTATTATTTATATACATATAATACAATATATAAAATGTATACAAAATAAATGCAATAAAGTAATAAATATACTTATATATATTAGACTTATACACACAACCTTTATAGATGTAAATGTAGTATAAATGTTCATATTTTTAGATGTCCGATACGTCTTTCTTCTATTTCGATATAAAGTTCACATCTGCGTATTATAGATCGATAGTACATTTTCAAATATTTCTTCCATGTCACGTATTGTACGAAAAGCATTTCCTATTCGTTTGTCATAAGTCTGGCATATTATTTATTATTGGCGATGAGCAGTTCAAAATCTTTCGATCTCCTTACAAAAAGAGAATGTGCAGTCGAATGTATTACAATCTCAAGTCGATGTATTGCAGAAACTCATTTATAATATCGAATGCTAATAAATAATAAAAGTTGATTTTAAATCGAAAGGATTGTTTTTAGAATCCATATTGATTAAACGTTTTTTAATTTTCTCGATGAATACTAGAAGTAACAAACACTTTTTTTATCACCCTGTATATACATACTTTTAGATATATAAAATCTTAGAAATATAAATATCTGTATAATATTTTCAATATATAAAATTTTAAGCAGATATATAAACATAAAATATATCTAAAATATATTTAAAAAATATATTTTACCTTAAAATATGTGTATACTATACCTATAATATATATATATATATATATATATATATATATATATATATATATATCTAAATCATTATTTTCGAAAATAGAAAAGGAAAATTTATGTTAAAAGAAATCAATGCCTTTCTGACTATTTATTCTACATTAAAATAACATAAACTTGAATCTTAAAAGTTCATTAAGCACTAACTCAACCAATGGACTATGATTCCTTTAACGATGGATAATCGATGTTGGTAAATGTCCACATCGTGAAAATGGACTCAGTTCCGTAAACAAAAGTTACTTTAACTTAATTTAATTCATTACTTAACGATGGTTACACGCGGCTTCGACTTCGAGTTTGAAACTTATCGTAGATATCGTTCGTTCGTGGAGAAATTGTACTGAAGCTTGGTTGAAAATCAAATTGCATTTAATTGACATCGTCTCTCTTAGTTTTTCTCTCTTTCTCACTTTCTCTCGTTTCTCTCTCGTTTCTTTCTCTCTCTCTCTCTCTTTCTTTTAAACATCTTAATCTGTAACATCTCTTTGTACCTTCCTCTCAATTTAATTTATTCTACTCCAGAGAATATTTATTCTTTTTGTATCTTTGAACATTGTAAAAGAAACGATCAATTTTGTTATCGATTCGTTTGTAAAATAATTGAACATAAGAAATCTTCGTGTGACAATAGAATAAATCGACAATTTGTATCTTTCGTCAGAATCGTAACATATAGATAAATTCAATGGTTATCGATAGAACATTGATTAAACTCTAATAAAAATTCTATGATGTAAATTGAAACACGAAACTATCTTGTCATCGTTCGACGAATTGTTATGGATTGCAACAGTTCGATAACGATTCTGATCACTTGTTTATCGATCAGTTAAAAAGGTAGAACGTGCAATAGATGTATAATTTTAAAAGTGTAAAAAAAGGTACAGTTTACAAATAATTTATATATAGTACTAATATTATATATATATATATATGATATGTATAGAAATGGTCAAAAGTTCTTCTAGTAGGTCCAAAAGTTCTTAAGAGAGTTTTAAAAAACAATTACTCTTTTTTTGGGCTAATTTTTTTTCTTCTTTAGATTATAAAAATACAACTTTATGAACTTTCGTATAATATGAAAAAAAAAAAAAGAAAAAATTTGTCCAAGAAGGTCTTCTAAAATGATATAATTGATTTTTAAAATGATCTAGCTTACTTGTGATCAAACCTGTACAATATAATCATCATATATATATGTATAGATATATGTATATACTAAATATGTTGATTTATTATGTACTCACCAGGAATACTTGTGCCAAGAGCAACGAAGACGACTGCGGTGACGGAATCCTTGATACCAAGAGTACATCCGAAGTAGGATGCGACATCACCGATTACTGCCGTCACCACCCCGATTCCAAATATGCTGACAGCGAAGCACAGATAACCGCCGGCGATATCTAAAAGCCATTAAGCCGAGTGCCTACTTTAGTCGATGGTGGCATTAGATTCTTAAGTAATTTTTTTTTTCTTTCTTTTTTTTCTATTTATATATTGAGTATATATATATATATATATATATATATATGTATATATATATACATATTAACAGGTATGGAACGAAACTTTTTAGAAAAAAGAAAAAAATTGAAAAGAAACAATAGAAATCTTTTTCTTTTTTTTTTTTATTTCATTTATTATAAAAGACATGTATCAACACATAGATATGCAGATATATGTGTATGTGTGTGTATATATATTAGGGGGACCGGAAAATAATGTCGCTTTCTTAAATTAAATTCAAACGAATAAATTTTTAACAAGTTTTTATTTTTAATCACAATCAAATATCGACATGCACAGAAACGACATTACTTTCTGGTCTCCCTAATAATATTTCAGTAGATACTTACATATATATATATATATATATATATATATATATATATATATAAATGTACTTAGTAGTACTTAGTAGGAACATCTTTAATATATATATATATATAAATGTACTTAGTAGTACTTAGTAGGAACATCTTTAACAAAGGATTATACTGTGTACACATAAAGGAATAATATACCATTTGAAGTTTCGCGCGGAATTATTTCTCAAACTATGGTTCATTTCATAAAATGTAACCAATAAAATTTACCTTTATTTCGAGAAGGTTGGGATCGACATTTTATGGCGGTCATAAATGTTCTCTTAAGTGGGCGTACCTTCGAGATTTTAAAGTGATTGTGTCTTTTTATACGGGACTTAAACTACCTTGACAGACCAAAGTGTTATGGTCGATGAATTCGTCCTAGAATGGACCAAACGTCTACCTAAACGTCTACCTTAATAAAAATGTACGGTTCCGTATAAAAAAAAGGATCACCTTGAAATTTTTGAAGTACGTCCACTCAAAGAAAATTTGTAACCTTCGTAAGATGTCTCCAGCTTTCGAAGCAGAATAAGTTTTATTCGAAATATTTTTTGAAACGAGTTATAGTTTGGAAAATAATTGCTTAGAAAGTCCCTTTAAATGGGACATCCTCTCTATTTCCATATATGTGAGATATATAGAAATATAAGGTATATTCTATATATGTGTGTATTTGCGTGTGTGAATATCATATATATTATCGTGCTTCAACGCGGACTGTCAGATGTCTTCATCTTTTGATTAGCTTATTCTGAGCTTACTAATCTAAATGAACCCATCTTGAATACGTTGAAATTAGATGCGTCTATACAGAGATGGATAAATATGGTTGAAATATAGATTATATATGTTGACGTGTACGTACATCGAGAATGCATTGATGGATATCTATTGTTTCAATGAAATTTCCTAATGACTAAGTGCATTCGATTATTCTAAGCTTCGGAATTCACTTTTTAGTTTTGACATATATACGCTTATATATATACATGAAGAAGTGTATATACATATGTATATACTAAGATGTGTATCATATATATATATATAATAGACTCCCGTATAACGAGTTCCTACAATGCGAATTCCTACAACGCGATAAAAATATTGGGACGATTTTCTTATGTTTCGTAATTGTTTTGTTTTTTTCCTAAATATGTTACTTATATTATCTGTATTATACGAGGAAAATTCTCATATAACACGATTTCCTATAACGCAATTTCATACAATGCATAACGTATTAACCGCATTATACGGGATTTATACTGTACATAGATACATGTATGTATATGTTCATATCAGTGATAATGATAGAAAGGGTGTCAATATGTTTGTCAAAGATAGCTAAACTATAAGGAACTTTTGCTTTCAGTTACATCCGAGATAATAGAGAATCATCGTTTATCTCATTTGGTTATCCCATTCATCTGAGTTCAAGAACACGAAACACGGACGGTTAACCATAGAATAATCGCGATGAAGCGTAGGAAATCCCACTTGAAGAGCGTCTCCTCCATTTCATTTTAATGGTCTGCCATTTGCATTCTAGCCCAGGTAATACCGTTTCTCTTCTCCTTTTGAATCCACTTAATATGATCACATTTTGGGCCGTTAATATATCGTCCGTGATATATATTTTCACACGAAATTTCATTATTTACACTTTGGCCATTAAGTTTTTCCTTCTTTTCTTTTCTTCCTTTCTTTTTTCTTTTTTCCTCTTTTCTCACATTCATCGTCTATTGAAAATTTCGTTTGATTATTACCAAAGTTCTCTACAAAACTCGTATCATTCGAACATATATTATCATTAATTCACGTGAACGAATTTTAAACGGATCCACGTCGAATGATGGTTTAGCGATGATCAGAAAATGTTGTTTATCGATAAATCCTAATTAGCGATATAATACCGTCGACCTTTGCTTTATTCTATGGATGTAATCTATTCAGCCCATTTCCATGAGCCGTGGACACAAATGTTTCATTTGTGTACAGTGTTTGCTAAAGTAATCAAGGAGAGGTATAGGTAGAGAGTATATGTATGCGTAAGAGAGAGACAGAGAGAGAGAGAGAGAGAGAGAGAGAAAGAGAGAGAGAGAGAGAGAGAGAGAGAAACAGAGAAAGAGAAAGATAGAGAAAGAGGAATATTTTACAGGTTTAGAAGAGAATAAGCAATGATACAGCAACGTCATTAGCATCTTCGTGAGTATATGTGTATGTACACACACACACACACACACACACAGGAAGACGTTCTAGCAGATTACTTCGTATAATCTCTTTGATCTTAAGAGAAAAATATTTTTCTTTCCCTTGGATTTCGTGCTTGCTTGCTAGCCCCTAAGAAAATGATTATCCTTTTACCGAAGGTTACTAGGTTCGATAAATATAGAAGAGAGAAAGGCCTTAAGTGTTCCGATGTCACTATATTAGGAATCTCTCTCTTTTTATCTCCATCCCTTTCGCTCTCTCTCTCCCCTTTTCTCTCTCTTTCTTTACTCCCTATCGAGAGAGAGTGACGTTTTTGTATACGCGCATCGTATAATGATCGCTTCGTTACGTGGCACGTTTTACGCGAGGAGGTCTCATATTATGTAAAGGAAGATTAGGATTAAGGTTACACGCTCTACGAGCAGCTATGAGTGCGCGGGAAAGTAGAAAATTAAAAGTCAATCTCTCTCTCTCTCTCTTTCTCTCTCTCTCTCTCTCTCTCTCTCTCTCTCTCTCTTTCGCTTTCTTTTTCTTTAAATGGACTTTAACTCGTTAAGGGATGAACTCTTTTCTTTTTTCTTCTTTCTTTTCTTTTTTCTCTTCCTCTTCCTCTTCCTTTTCCTCTTCTTCTCTTGATGATTATCCGGATAAAGAAGAAAAATATTAAGTATAATCGTAAAACGATAAACTAACAACCGTTTGTTTAGCGATTCTACGATGAGAAAAATTTTTTTTCTTATGTGCTGAAATCTACGCGACATATCCCTCATTAGCCTAACGTCGTTAGAGCGCATTTAAGTTCGTGGTATTTATAACTTCTACACTCCACCCACTGTTACGCTTCGATCGTAACGGGATGTCGTATCGAAGTAAGCTAAATTTCTTTCCGATAACGAATCCCACGTATATCGTCTCATAAGTGGCTTCTTCATTTTCTTTTCACTTATCGTCAATAACGCAAAGTCACATTTTGCAAAATTTTACATTTTTTGTTTACATTCTCATACAGAATAATAAATCATTTTTATTTCGATTTTCTAGATATAGTAAAAACAGTTTTTTAGATTTATCATCTTGTGACATTTTTTTTTATATATTTAACGTCAGCGTGTAAAATCACTTTTTTCTTTTTGTACTTACAGTATATTATTATGAAACACAATCGATTCACATTCGAGTAATAATCGTCTTTTTATTTGGATTTCTAGATTTATAATAAATTTTTAATCATTTTCAAACAATCCATCGAATTTTTAACTATATACTATACATTTTTTTTCGAGACCACTACAACGTTCAGTTTTAATCTATATTATTAGAAATGGTTTAAGAATTGTGTAAGGAAAACAGGTTAGTATTGTCGATGCATCTTATTTATCGTTCTTCCAAAAGTCTTTAATGGAAAAATTATACGTAGGATAGAAAGGATGTGGGACGAATCGATGTCCGGTTGTTCGATGTAAAGTTTCATTGATGGAAAGGGTACTCACGGGACGAACTCGTAACCACGAGAATCGTGATCGGGGCTCGAAACGATTTTGCGAACGGAGGCTTGTCAATAAATCAAGCAACCCCTACTAGCCCTATCGAAGCCACCGATATTCAGAGAACCCTGAAATCGACCTAAATGAGCTCAAGCTCTCCGAACGTGAAAGGTACTAATCAATGAATGTCTATATATATATATATATATATATATATATATATATATATATATATGCATATATATATAGTATATATATGATTATATGTATAAACGGAAATATATATATATATATATATATATGTATATAGTAAATGTTATATATCTATATACCTCGAATTTTCCGATTCGAGTACGAATCGCTATTCACTTCGTCATTAGGTCTTTGCAAATCGAAGAGAAAATTTGATTAGAGTGAGAGAGTGAGCGAAAGGATAATCGAATTTATACTTGCTTTTGTTAATATCGAACGTGTTAACATTGAAGATTGATAATAGTAAAAGCTTAACTCTTTTCAAAAGCAAAAAAGAAATGATTCGTTATCGTTGGATATCTTCGAATGAAAATTTTACTTTTTTGCGTGATCCCTCTTTGGTTAATTAATTATATTCTTATCTCGATGAATCGTATAAGCTTGAATAGAGATGGTAGAGGGTAGATAAGATTCATTAGCTTCAGTTCTTATCATCAGAGATGTTAATGTAAACGATCTGTTAACACGATAAATTTTATCAATCTTTTACGAAACTTTTCGTTGTTTTGTGTAGATTTTATAGTATATATGCATATTGCTTAAATTAAACAAAGAATCGTGTCGAGTTAAATCAAATCATAT